ACGAGGTAAAGTGTATGTAATACATGAGTGAGTAATAGTGTGCATAAGTGTGGAAGGTGTGTTGGAAAATTATAAAAGATCTGAGAACAAATGCAGAATTTATAGAAGATTGAACGTGGACCTAACTTTTATTAGGATTATAAAAGTATTCGAAAACGTGAATTATTTTCGTACATGTTTATGTTAATTATTATTATCTCCAACAATCGTCTTTAACATTAATTACAACGTTGATGTTAATTTATTTTTGTACATTTGAATAGTTTTTTAATCTTTGTAAATGTATAGATCCATATTCAGTGTTTCACAGGGTTTGTACTTGTTGTCAGATTTTTATATAATTTCACTCACACATTTTTAATAATCGTGTCTTATTTCAGATGAAGTGTTATTTGTTATTATCTCCAAGTTTCGAGTTTAACCCGTGTGTTCTATCCGTTAGAAGCTTGGAACGCAGGCATTCGAATATTTTTATGCACTGTAAATGCACAATAAAAGTGTCTTATTATAACACTTATTATTTAGTTTAAATATTCTCAACTAGAGTACAGTACTTAAGTACAGCACAAGTGAGAAAATTAACATTAAAGCTCACTTCGATATTATTGCTTTCACTTCGTCATAAATTTGAGTAAATTCCCAAAATCATTACAGGCCATAAGGAAATTTATTAAATTAAAAATTCACGTAGAAAAACTAAAAAAGAAAATAATCAATGTAATCACCTTATACGTATAATACATATTACACACAAATCCTAAAATTCTAACTTTCGTTTTACATATATATATCCTGTAAAACGGTGTAAATAAATTTTTGAATGTTTAAATTATAAAATAATTTAAATAAAATATTTTAATAAATAAAAATAAAAATAAAAGGGAAGAATAGACATTGGAAGATTAATTCGACATAATCCTGACTGTCGTTCGATCAGACAGCACCGACGAATATCCCTCTTCCCCATGCTCAATCCGCTTCTTGCTGATCGATGTTGTCGGTCGTGTCAAACACAAACCGACAAGCCCATTGATCGGTGATTCGTTTGAATTCTCCAGTGATATGGATCTCGTGCTAATGTCGATAGTTAAAAATCTCTCTTCTATTATTTATATATACCCTCTTTCACGCATCACCGTTTCCTCTAACCCTTTCACACCCGTTCATCCACCATCTTCATCTCGCGGCTGTAACCTCTATAACTATATATGCATCTTTATATCTGTAATCTATGGAGACGGCACAAAGCTGAACGGCTAGTAGTAGATACAAATATGTTACACGTACACGAGCACGATCTCTGAGGCTCGCATTTCACCCCGTTGCTTGGGAAATTAAAAGGCTCGGACCAGACCAGACGATAGGGCAGACGTCTTTGTTGTCACGACGCGGCCTCGCGGCGAATTTTATTTTATTGTCCCCGTAAAAGGCAGTGAAAGAATTTCATTCTGACTTGCACAGTGTAAAAATAGCTCAAAAAGTTCGTGGAACGAAATCATACCTTACAAATAATTTTCTGCAATTATCCAGCTGTGGAATGATTTTTATTTAGGGGTGGGTCTCTCGAAACGCGAGTTTCCAGCTTCAAAAATTCGAAGCTTCGTACCTTCTCCTCGCGTTTCGAAATTTTGTTAAGCTTGGCGAAAGAGAAATGTAAAATCGACGAATAAAGGAAATTAATTTCGTCACAGTGAATTAATATTATTCTGTGATCTCAAATAGCAAAAGAGACTTCATTTCTCGAAATAAAATGCTGAGATAAAATCGTATCTTCGAATTTCGAAAATTTCAAAAATTTTTGATATATTGAAATCTAGTGTTCGAGTGTGGAAAATTTATAAATTGCGTAAATTCAAACCCACCTCTAATTTTTCCAAATGATCTGCGACATGTTCAGTCCTTATCATTGTTCGATCGAGTTGGGGCTCGTATAAAAATTTTGTGCGATTAATTTACATTTGTGCAGTAACCCAGGGAATTCGAAGAAGCTGTTGTCGTTATCAGAGTATAAAACAGGGGTTCAGTCAATATCGGAGGATGGTTTTCCTCGTTATCGTTCAATCTTCAATTATTTTTCTACGGTTGATCTATTGTGATCTACGAATCACTGGTTTGTTGGGAAACTTCGTTACAACTTCGTTATCCTCCATGTTTTTATATCCTCGATGGTAGCTGTACTAAGTAAACCATATAGCGATTGTCATTTCGAATGGTTTGCGTATGGAACCTCGATGCTCGTTATAAAATAATAACGACGTCATGTTCGTATTTCGTACAGCAAAAATAAAGCATGTCGAATTAAGTTCCTTTTAGACGAAGTTACCCCATATTCTCGAATCTCTGACAACTTAACATGACGACTTAATGTAATCAAGTTGTCGCATGAATTATATTACCTTGAGACGTAATGCGGTAAGAATTATAATATAATTATAATATAATTGGTCTCCGAATTTCGCTTCGAAATTTTCAGTAAATTCTGGAAGCGTTTCTTCATTTCTGTAAAAAGAACTCGTGATCTATTCTCGAACTAGATATTTTTATTATGGATCAGATCATCTAAACGAAGTTCATTATCCATCGATCCTTAAATCTTTGCGAACTATTCCCAGAATCATTATAATTCTTTGATAATTATCGGTCCAAAGAATAACGCTGCGAAGCTACACATATTTGCGTTAACTAAAGCTACCTCGAATATCTCCTACGGTATAAATTCTCAAAAAGCAAACTCGAAAATATTTACAGCCGTTCACAAACCGTCGTCAAAATTTCCTGTACTCGCGGAAAACACTTGTCCATTGTTCCCAAGTCCGAGTACCCAAATGATCCCTAGATATCCCAAAACATCCCCAAAAAGTCCCTGTTCCCTATTCACGGTCCATTTACATTCCTTTATCGTCAGTTTCATAGATTCTCGTGTCACGTGTCTGTGTATTTAATGATTTACTAAAATCTCGTGCAATTGACACCCCGTGAGGTGCCAGCAGTCTTGTGTCGATCATCCGCCGCGAGAGCTGCGTCGCCTTTGCCCCCTAACCTTCGTCTAGCTAAAAATTAGCGTAGGAACCAACGTCGTTCGATCGACAGCTATCAGCGAAGCAGTCGCGAGAGAAAACGCTAATGAGGACGATGGGAATGCAAAAAACGACGTTTAGGCTACCCAAATTAGATCCAGAGCGATGGTTCGTCATTTGGTCATCAGTCTCTTCCTATTGGCTCTCTTTGTTCTCCGTTCCTATATTCTCCCTCGCTCTTTTCTCTTTCTATAATACAACGGAGCGAAACGCCAGCACGCAGAGACTCATTTTATCAATCTTTCTCTTCCGTGTCCGAGGCCCGTTTTGATAATCCCTGCCGTGGCCTGTGCTCGCGATTTTTCGCCCCGCGACACTCACGCATCAACGCAATTTACTCACGCACACCACGCGCGACACGTACGCACGTACTGCACCCGCATGCACACATGCATATACACACTCAGGTATACCACGGTAACGATTTTCCACGAAACGTTTCTCTACCTTTGGGCCCGATCAATATTACCTGTGTAATTCACCCTTTGCCGCGTGCATATGGCCGATGTCGATCCGAGGTCGTCGATGGAAAACGCGTTTCCGGGGACCATAATCGTTCACCAAAGTCGACGTTGATCGAACGTCGAGGATGGGACTCTTCCCGGCGATTGCGGTGTGGGAAATTCGTGGAAGCTCGAAGACGAAGAGACTACTCTCGTCTGACGTGACTTCCTCTCAGACCACGTGCACTGTTTCGCGAGGTGAACGTTAGAGATTGGTGGCAAATTAGGTTTGGATTACCACCGAGTTGATTTGTGGTTGCTAGATTGCTACTTGGAAATTTAGTATCCTTAGATTTATCGTCGAACGATAATTTCGTGCGCGTTTGTTCGGTGTGGAGATCAGTTTCAAAGTTCTACTACCGAATTAATCCTCGTATACCGAACTCTGATGGATTAATTATCAAATAACTTTCACACGCAAAGAATTTATAAATTGCCCCTGAATTACTGTTAAATTGTTATCCATCTAGCGTTTCGACACTGAGCGTTTATGGACCAGTTATCGAATAATAAATTTCCATAAATTTCCTCGGTCTAGTTCCCTTCCATCACTCACGAGGAATTTATAAACCACCCGCGAGCTACTAAATTATGATCGAATTGGACTAGCAGATTCGTATAAATTTCCCCCGCCGAAGAATTCCGTCATCCCGAGCTGTCATACTTCCCAACAGCCGCCAAATTATTGTCCAATTATTAAGCAAACTCGTGCGAGCTTCGTCGAAGCGAAATTCACTTGCACCCGTGACGAAGGATTCACACGCCTATATCCATTCTGGCGAAATCGCTACCGTGGAGACACCCGGCCTCGTGTGACGAGATTACACAACCGAACAGGAAAATGAAAAAAAACAAGGGAAGAGTAAATCATTGTGCACACGTGCACCGCGAGTACGAATCTCCGTTTGTTCGTCTGCAGTGCGTGCATCGATGACTTCCCCTTTTCGCAGTCTCGCTCTCTCTGCCTCGTACCCTCAGCCTCTCGACTCGACATGCATCCCTCTCTCTGCACTTGCACACACACACGCACACACACACTCGTATATTCGCGCTGCAACGAAATTTTGTCCAATTATCCGTCGGATCACGTGTCCACGCCTCGCATCGCGTCAACGGCAGCCGGCCCATCTGCCCCATTCCTCCCGAGCTTCCGCTAGAACCCGAGCGGCGCGCTGCAAACTCTCGGGACCAGACAGGCCAGAGGGCACGGTTCGATCAGGGAACCCTGTGCCACGTCCATGCACGCGTTTCGTTATTTTTTCCCTTGCTTTCGATCGATATACACGCGCGAGAATCGACGATACGGAGCAGCGACTTTCAGCCGGCACACGCACCTCGTCATCTTGCTCCCTCGTCGGCTTCGTACGGCTCCTTCCTGCTGCTGATCGAGGCGGGAAGCTCGCCGATCCGTTCGGCGGAGGTGAAAGGATGTTGTTGGGGGACGTTGCGTGGCACGCCAAGATGTTCGCCGGTAACACGCGACCGATGTGAATGGGAACGAAGCGACGCAACGCGTCGTCACGTCCCAGGGGCGGTGAGGGCACCACCGCACCGGTTCACCCTGCGGGCTCTGGTCCAGGCCTGCCTCTGACCGACAACCAACACGCGCTCGGTCAATCGCGAAATATTGCCCTGTGCTGCCTTTTTTTTCATTTTTTTCCGTTCTTCCCTTTTTTTCGGGTTAGGTGAGAGGAGAGATATCGAACCTGTAACCCCGCCCCCTGCGCTTTCAATCGGTGTAATCAAGCCGATCGCGATCCGGGCGAGGCTGGATCCGGATCCGGTGTTTGCGGATGATGCGTTTGAGAGAAGTTGAGGGTTTTTTTTGTCAGCGAGGAGAGGGTGAATAAGTGGTTTTGTATGGCGCAGTTGTGTGAAATGGATCGGGGATTGGGAGGAGAAGAGACTTTTTGTTGTCGTTTTATGGGAGTGGGTTTTGTAGGCTGGTTGGGGAAATGAGATAATGGAAGATGTTTGTGGGGATGGATGAGGGGGGACATTTCTAGCGCCGATATGGATCGAGAATTTCACTTTCGCGTCGCGTTTGCTCTCGAGCAGAAGAATCGTAAGTTAAAAAGGCAGCACGATTTAAGCTCGTAGTTGCTTGCGGAAATTAATTTATTGGTGATAAGTAACTTACCTACACAAACCATTCGTCTTTTTGGCTGGAGGAGATGTCGCTGGAAAAACATTTGATTTATTGAATTAGTTTCAAAATCGAACGACAATGATGATAGAAAATAATCGTTAAAAGATAAAATGTAACAGAGATTCATTTTTGAAGTTAGGTTAAGTGTCTGATAGTGTGATATTAATACACTTCTCAATTTTCAGGTCATTTATGCAGTAAATCACGAAGCGGAATTAATCTTGAAATTGAAATAAACCTCACAGAATTGCGAAGTATGATTGACACTAACGAAAAGATTCCTTCAAAAGCAGGACATGATCTGAAAGCTGCAACGATCTTACATTAATCCTGGGTAGTTCTTGAAATATTTTTGCAAAGTGTATTAATTCTGACAGAGGCCTCGTTAGCCCTCTTTATGGCAATTTCAAGCCAGATGTAGCGACTCGTCAAAGACCATTCCTTCTCATTCGGTTTCAATCTCGTCACACGAAGGAAGACCAAGAGAGCATATAGATTGAGCAAGCAAGATGAAGGATTACCGCGCGAAGAGAGAGAAATAGGACACATTGCTCGAAAAAGACAGACCAAAGAGGGTACTTTCGAAATATGTCGGATGAAACAGAGGCAGCATATTGGCACGAGTAGTCTATCTCCATTGAGAGAAAGCAAAGCTTCCAATATGCATGTCAAAGCAAGTAGCCAGCTCTCAGTCCCACGTAGTACTTTCGTAGTACCTTCGTCACGGTATATACTTTTGATCTCCTTCATTGACCTAATTGTTTTCGATAGCAGGAGTCTTTGTCCAGCAAACTTCACATCCACGTTAAATATTCCAATTATATTTTCCAGCAAGTTCACGCCGGCGCATACCACCGGTGACTCACACTCAAATGATACATTCTGCGACGCATGGAGCAGCGAGAAACATGTATTGCAGCACCGGCGTGAACGTGTTAAACAGGGTGAGCTGGAAAAAATTGGAAGAGTACAAGCGAGTACAAAGGGATGAATAGAGTGAGATAGACTTACCTGTCGGAACCGTGGCTCCTCACTTTGCCTGGCAGTAGAGGCGGGCCCGGACCGCGCTGTGCCTGTGCCTGAGGCCCGCAGGGCGCAGCCAGTTTCCCGGCCGCGGCAGGGTCGTGGCACCCGTTACCCGCGATCCGAGGGCCGAGCCATAGGTCCCCAGCGCTCCCAGCGTGCCCGTGGTACCCTTCAACGTGGTCATGCCCACTGGCAGGCCTGCGCTCGCTCCGTTCGATCCGTACATCTGTTGCACTGGAATACCGTAAAACACATCAGTCCCGCCATAGCACCTGCATCTCTTTCGATTTCGCTTCGAATTCTTTTCTATTATTTTACCTTCTCTGTTCTTTTATGTTTTCTTTCTTTTTTGGGGGGAGGAACGATTTAAATTGTTATACCGTATCCTAGCTTTAGTTGAACGGGTTTGGAAGTAGATCGAATTATCAACCTGCGATGGGAATAATTAGGTATGCACAACTCGCAACAAAACGAGACATCGTGTCTTCTGTACCAGGTCCCCCTCGGGTAAATAAAACCCTCCATTAACATGAAATAATGCTTTGGTTTCCTAAATATCCACGACGTGTATTTATTTTATAGTAATCTAACAACGTGTATTTATTTTATAGCAAATCCTGAAGTCACTTGAATTGGTCTCTATCCTACTCCTAGTCTCCAATAAAATATCTGCAAAGAAGAGGAATCTTTTCAAAATAAGGTAACAAAATCCTAAATCCTATTCTAGACGAATGTAACTAGCACAAGACAAGAGACGTGGCATAAGTACTAATATACCACTCTCTAAAATCCACCCTATTCCATCACACCCTCACCGAATTCCTAACATCATTAACGCAATCAACAGTTCCATTTTATCACAGGTCTTCTTTTCAACCCCGCACGTTCCCAATGGATTTTATTCGACGTATCAGCTCGCCCCGCAAGAAGCAATCATGAACCCTCGTCCGCGGGCTGGCCACATTTACCATCAACCCCATCGAATTCCGCGACGGAAACGAGCAACTGCGGAATCCGGGTCGAGTGTAATTCTCGACAGGCAAAAACCTCCAGGCAAGAATGCGTTTAACGTGCCACGATTCTCGGACTCGCGAGGAGGAAACCGCCTTCGCGGCCGGATATATACGCGAAGGACGTGACGAGGAAGACGACCGTGCACTACCACGGGCCCATACAACTTTCAGACGCGTATTCGTCATGTCCTCGGCGTTCATTGCTTTTGTTTAGTCGACGCGGGACGCATCTGCCATTTTTATAGCGGACGTCGTCGCGCGGTCTGGCAAACCGCAGTTTCAAGACTGCGCGGTCCTCTAGCCTACGTGATTCTAGACATCGGTCGTACGACCTCCGCATCATAATTCCCCTGAAATCGAATTGCGCAGGCTGGAGAGGAGGAAAGCGTTGGAAAGCGTTCAGCTCTAGGACTAGCGTGCTTCCACCGACCAGGCGAAATGTCTCGTGAGAGTTGGCTGATCTTTCTGATAAAAATTCACGAGATGCGGGTTTTCGGATTATCTTTGGAATTTCGTTGTGGGAAAACAGAGAGCACGCGTTGAAATGTCCCGCGAGAGACGGATAACCCTTTTTTGGGGTTGAGAGTTCATGAGATTGGAGATTTTTGAGATCAATTTTGGAATTTCGGCGTGATAAAAATTGAACGAATGTTAATATGATTCGTGACTGATATGATTTATAAAGTACTCGTATTAAAATGTATCCATAATTTACAAAAAGTTTATAAATTATTACAACTATTATTAATAACAAATTAATATTGTTACTAACAAATTGCTTACAGCGGATATTCATACTAGCAATGAAAAAATTAATAAGTTAGTTATACCAGCGGAAAAGCAATAAGAAAATCGGCGAAGTTCGAAAATTTCCGTTGGGGTGGGGGGCTCGATCGAAGGGTATATAAAGGGCGACGCGACGTATTATAACTCATTTGTCGGTTGAGTTCGGAAGTGTAACATCTAAATTTTCATTGTGCGCGAGGGGTGGGGATTCGAAGTCAGGTTGGGGCTGGGCCCCACCACCCTCACCCCCGCCCGTTAAACAATTTACTAATAATTTTTTTAATTTTCAGCTATTTAATGCACAAAAGTTAAATCTATCCCAACCAATCTGAGGCTAAACCAAACTAACCGATCGTAACATGTCTCAACAAATCGAGCCGAGACCATTATTGCTGGCCTTCCAACAGCCAAGCTGAAAATACTAAAATACTGTATGGAGCAGAGATGCAATTGGAATTTCGGCGTGATAAAAATTGAACGAATGTTAATATGATTCGTGACTGATATGATTTATAAAGTACTCGTATTAAAATGTATCCATAATTTACAAAAAGTTTATAAATTATTACAACTATTATTAATAACAAATTAATATTGTTACTAACAAATTGCTTACAGCGGATATTCATACTAGCAATGAAAAAATTAATAAGTTAGTTATACCAGCGGAAAAGCAATAAGAAAATCGGCGAAGTTCGAAAATTTCCGTTGGGGTGGGGGGCTCGATCGAAGGGTATATAAAGGGCGACGCGACGTATTATAACTCATTTGTCGGTTGAGTTCGGAAGTGTAACATCTAAATTTTCATTGTGCGCGAGGGGTGGGGATTCGAAGTCAGGTTGGGGCTGGGCCCCACCACCCTCACCCCCGCCCGTTAAACAATTTACTAATAATTTTTTTAATTTTCAGCTATTTATTTTTTTCTTTCAGATTTTAATTACTTTTTATTCTTTCAGGTATTAATTATTTTTTTTTTCAGATATTATTTTCGTTTATATTTATTTATATTTGGACATTCGAATATTTCGTATAATATTCGAATGTTTCGTCATTGGTTTCTTTATGTCTCATCGTTGGGTTGTTCCTTCCATTTGGTTGATCTTTCTGGTTTATATTCCTTCCTCTTCTATTTTGTTTCATGTTACTAATCCGTTTCATTTCAGGTTTATATATTTTCTTAACAGGACTTAATTATTTTTTACTTTTCGGATTTTATTTTTATTTGATAATTTGAATATTTCGTATAATATTCGAACGTTTCATCGTTGACTTCTTTATGTCTCATCGTTGGGTTGTTCATGTCTTATTGTCAGATTTTTAATATCTCATCGTTGGATTATTCGTTCCATTTAGTTGATATTTATGGTTTATATTTGTTTTATTTGTGTTGTACTAATCTTTTACTAATCTGTTTCTCTTTAGCTTTTCAGGACTTCCAAGACATCGTTGTATGCGGGATGCATGCGTTTAGACCTAAGTAGTCGTAAGCAGTTATAAGATAGATCTCTAGACTGAGTATCATGTGCGCGCTATCTGTACAAAGGTAAGCTACCTAACTTGCAGCGAATGTATATATTTTCCCTTATCCCCCTCGTTTAGCAAATAGAACATAATAGTTCTCGCGATAATCGCGATCGTTCGTAAGTACCGATTAGCCTACGCAACATCCTCTCGTGTACTCGATAAGTAAATGCTTCATAAGTCATCCTCACGACTCGTCTCCGACACTCATTTCCAGTCACTGTCAATCTCGTCCTGCATCGGGTTCCAGGGTGACCCCCTCGGATCAGTGCGTCTTCTGACCTCGACGGGGCGGTCCGCTGCCTAAGTCGTACGCGACTGGGGCTCGGGCACATGCTAGCTGACGGACTAGTACCATCTACGGTTAGACCACAGGGATGATTAAGTTCTACCCCGTGTGGCTGGGATGCGAAGTGTCTGTCTTGGCCGGCAACCGCCCAGCAGGGCCCTCGCGTTGACACTAGAAGTTTCATTGGTTCAGGGACTATCCTTGGTCCACGTGTAAGTCTTGGCGAGTGCGACAGTGACTGGAATTGAGCTAGGCCCGATCGGGAGGGTGCCGAGGTATGAAGTTATCTCTGTACACGGGAGTACATCGCCTAGGCTAGTCGGTCTTTCGAATAATCGCGATCTCGTTCGGGCGCGTCGCGATTTTCTATTTGCTCGCGTGTTTGATATTTCATTCCCTATTTTTATGGGAACTTGAAAATATCTTAGCGTTGCGACAGTAGAGTTTCAGTATACCGAATCGAAGTTCCCTTTGTAAGACACGAAATAAAATAAAGTGTCAGTAGAGTCACTTTAACTTAATTCGCTCCAAGTTAGATTAGGGTACCTTTGATACAGGTAGCACCAGCAGGCTGCGCCACTAGGGCGCATGTCGGGTCTCGATGCGTAGCCACCTCCACGTGGTGAGACCTGGTAATTGGTATCGTTTTCCTTTGGGAAACGATATCAAGCTAAGAGCTACGCACAAAGTATAACATATGTCCTATCTCTTGCGAATTTTCACTATTCCCTTTGAAATTTGAAGATAGAGAGTGGGCAATATCTGTTTAAATGATATTTAAATGAAGAGGAATTAAGCTAACAAGGAAGTGCAAGTGCTTCGGGTCACCGATTTAGTTGATACTCCGCAGGTTTGTAGATATCGTCATGCAGTTTAAGAAAATATATCATTATCGCGACAACTACTCAATAGTTTTTGAGATATTTACGATTAAAGTTTCATTACTTTCGTAATTACAGATTTATTTCCATCATTTTTCATGTGCTGTCGTGGCCTAAAAGCGATAGATGAATATTCCTGTGGTAATGGACAGTGGTTCGATTCTCGTCCCATTGTTGGTAGTTTTTTAAACTATTTTTGATTGTGTTCATTTTTCGTCTATGAAAAAATTGTAAATAAAATTTCTTAATAAAATAATTTATTTTTTACGCTTTCTTATGCTAGTGTATAATTATTACATAATAATAAGAATATTATGCAAGAAAAATACTTTTCTATAGCAATCTTATTTATTACAGGAAGTACAAAACCTAACGCTCATGTAAGTATTAATTATTAATTATTAAACATCCTATAAGAATGTTGCCTATAATTCCAACTTTGCTGTGCAGCTATAAATTTTCATGAAGTAATTACAAAAACTTGGCAATTTATTAATTTTTTACTGTCGAATTGATTTCTAGTAT